TTTCCTTTTTCCTTTCCTCACCCTAGAGGAGGAAAAATCACTTTTATGGGCAGCCAAATGCAGCAGCGGGGTGTGGGAGAAGCTCCCTCGAAGGATGGGGCAGCACAGCCCAAACTGGCTGGGAAAAGGCTGGAAAAGGTCTGGGAAAAGGCTGAGAAAAAGCTGGAAAAGGGCTGGGAATGGTGACATTCCCTCTGCAGGGACAGGAGGCAGCAGGAATGTGGCTCAGGAAGGGGGCACAGGGACAACTGTGAGCTCACAGTGCTGGAGCTTAGCAGAACGGCTCAGAATAATCCTAGAATTCCTAAAAACCCCTTTCCAGCCCCTCCAAGTCTCCTAAGATTCCCTACAATCCCTTTCCAGCCCCTCCAAGTCTCCCAAGATTCCTACAATCCCTTTCCAGCCCCTCCCGGCGGCGTGGACATGCAGGTGACGGCTCCGCAGCCCCCCATGCGCAGGCACGGCTCAGCCCCACGGCCCTGAGGGCACCCATGAGGTGGGATGGGATGGGGTGGCGTGGGATCCCTCCAAATCCCCCAGATCCCCCCTTCCCACAGCAGGGAATTTTGGGATCCCTTTTAGGGCTTCCCTTCCACGCAGGACAGACCCACGGCAAATCTGAGTTGTGCAGGGATTGGGATTTCTCCCCGTCCTCCTGCCCTGAGCCTTTTCCTGACCCCTCAAACACACGGGAGATGTTTGGAGGGGTTCCCAGCGCCACATCCACGCTGGAAAATCGGGATCAGCACCCCGAGTTTCCATCTCCAACAGCCTCGGGCTGCTGCTGGAGCTGGAAACCGCAGGGGTTTCCTTCCCGGTGCTCATCCTCGTTAAAACCACGCTTGCAAACGCCCTGAAGCCATGCTGGGGTACAACAGCTGGCTGTGGCAGGGCTGGGACAACATCTGGATGTGGCACAGGGGACGCAGCTCCTGCCCAGCGCCACGAGCTGCCCTGGGCAGCCGAGCCTTCCTGCCCCCGGAATGGGAAGAGTTTTCCAGGGCTCCATCCCGAGGGGCCCCGGGGCTCCCCCAGCCCTGCCCTGAGCTGCCCCGGGGTTTGGGGTGACAATGGGGACGTGGTGAGGGTGGCGGGGCCGTACTCACGCTGGGATCTCATTGCTCAGGTGGCTTGGAAACAGAGAAACAGCGACGTTGAGAGGGGACAGAGACAGGG